GGATGCGCCTGGCCTGCGGGGACAGCTCTTATGTAAGCTGATTAGGGCTGAGCTGCTTGGTGGACCGTTCAGAGAGCCTCCCAGCACTGCTGAGCCCACACCCTGCCTTTGCCCTCTCTGGTTTATTGAAGAGATGTGAAGGGCAGTGGACTAAAGGGGAAAACAGAGTATTAGATCAATAAATACCATGCTTCTTGAAATGAGTGAAAATCCCACTTAGGTTTGTTCGGACAGGGAAAAACGCAGGCTCACTTCTTCAGGAAATCATTTGTACTTGTACTTGAGGATTTCTTTTTACAACTAGTTTATTTTTTATTTTATGTACATTGGTCTTTTTACTCTATGTAGTCTTTGCAAGGTTGTCAGATCCCCTGGAACAGAGTTAAGGACAGTTGTGAGCTGCCAGGTGGATGCTGGGAATTGAATTCAGGTCCTCTGAAAGAGCAGACCATGCTCTTAATCACTAAGACACCTCTCTAGCCCCCAATTTTTTTTTAAAATCAAAATTTAGCTCTTTCAAATTGAGTTAGGTTGAATGCTATTACTTTCTGATTTCGTAGGAAATAAAGGACCACATTATTAAACTCTCTAAAGCAGACCACAATTTCAAACTAAGATTCATAATTTCATTCGACAAACTCTTTTTTTCTTGAGGTTTTGTTTCTCAGGTTAATTTTCTTGTTTGTTTGGAGGCAAAAAAATCTCACAGTGCAGCCCCATGCTGGCTCAGGCTCACACGGAGTTCCTGTGCTGAGAATACAGGTATTAGCCACCATGCCCCAGTTGAACAAATTCTTTTCCATGTGTTCCAGTGTCTGTGTGTGTGTGTTCTTGCATGTATATCATAGCACAGTTGGAGAGGTCAGAGGACAACTTTCAGGAGTCAGTTCTAACTCTCCTCAGCCATCATTTCTGAGGCCCTTAGTATGACCTTCATTCTTGAGCAATTCCATTTTAACGAGGCATCCCAAAATTTAAGTAGTCGCAAAGCAGAATGGTAAAGGCAGCCTAGGGTCAGTTATAAGATGGCACAAGGGTGGACGTGAATGACCTGGCCATGAAGGGGAGGGAAGGCTTTGCAAAGCAGAGGGTGGCTAGCTGTTCTAGTTTGGCTTCTGTTGCCATGATGAAATACTCTGAACAAAAGCAACGAGGGTGGGGGGAAGGTTCATTTAGCTTGTGAGTTATAGTCTATCATCTAGGGAAGGCAGCTCGGGGCCTCAAGGCAGAACCTGGAGGCAGGAACTGAGGCAGACTCCATACAGGAGCTCTCCTTCCTGGCCTGCTTCCTGGCCACTTTCAGCAGGTTTCTCTGCCATGCCTCCTCCTCCCCCCTCCCTCTTCCTCCTCCCCCCTCCCTCTTCCTCCTCCCCCCTCCCTCTTCCTCCTCCCCCCTTCCTCTTCCTCCTCCCCCCTCCCTCTTCCTTCTCTTCCCCTCTTTCTTTTTTCCCTTTTAGTTTTTTAAGACAGGATTCCTTTCTGTAGCCCTGGTTGTACTGGAACTCACTTTGTACACCAAGATGGCCTCAAATTTCAGAGATCCACCTGCCTCTGCCTCCAGGTAGAGTGCCACCACGCCCAGCCTCAGCAAACTTTCTTACACAGCCCAAGCCCACCAACCTGGGGATGATACTACCAGCATGGCTTTGGGCCCTTCCACATCAATTAGCAATCGAGAAACCATGGAGAGTCTTTCAAGCCTCCACATATGCACAACAGTTGAAGCATGAAATAGGTGTCCGTTTCAAGAACCAACGTGAATTTATTTAGGATGTCTGTGCTGCTGGGAAAGGAAAGTGGCTGAGCACCGCAGGAAAACATGGCAGCCCGAAGAAGAGGTTTTACTTATTTAGCGTATGTGTATGTGTATGCGTGTTAGTGTGTGTACATGTGTGAGTATATGTATGTGTGGATGTGTATGTGTGTGTATTGTGTATACATGAGTATGTGTGTGCTTTAGTGTGTGTGTGTGTGTGTGTGTGTGTGTGTGTGTGTGGTGAGTGTGTGTACGTCACCGGACATCTATGGAAATCATTGGATATTTCACAGGAATATTTGGCTTATGCATGGCAGTGTGGCTCAGTGATAAGAGAGCCTGCCTCGCAGAAGCAAAGTTGTGGGATTTGATTGCCAACACTGCAAATAATAATATAACAATTTTTCAGTATTTATCTCATCAGTGATCAGATCCCTCAGCTAATCTGAGAGGGGCTTCAGTTTCTGAAATAGCCCTTGCAGGTTCCTGTTTGTACACTGGGTCCCTGGTTGGTGATGCTGTTTTGGAAGGCTGTGTAGACTCTTGGGAGGAAGTGGGTCTCTGGGAATGATCCTGGATGGCCTGGATGGCCCTACTTTTAAATGTTGCCCTTTTGTTGTACAGTGCTGGGGACTAATGCAGAGCCTTCAGCATGCCAGGCAACGGCTGTACCACTGAGCTAACTCCCCAGCCAAATTATCATTATTACTTCACAGGCACACATTTCATAGAGCCTCACTGTCACATCTGGTATTAGCAACAGGCAGGGCCCAAGGGCTACTGGTTGAAGGCAACGGAGGGTGGGGGAGTTTCCCACAAGTTTACAGTTGGCAAATCTTCCTGTAGTCTACTTTTGTCTGAGGTTTCTCTGCAACAGAGTGTGGAAAAGAGGAGTCTGCATCTAAGAGGAGAGAACAACTTTTTGTGGCTGAATAGGCTCTGAGCATAGATGCCAGATGTGGGTGCTGGGAACTGAATCCAGGTCCTCTGCAAGCACAGTGTGTATGGTTAGCCTCCGAACTACGTCTCCAGGCCCAGCTGCCAAACATTCTTGATTGAGAGCATGATGATAAACATCCCAGTTCTTGGTGACTGAGTCACAGAATCACCCTAGTTGTGTGATAACTATCTCTCTTCTCGAATCATTTTCAATGAGTTCCTCTTCTTTGCGGTAGAAACTATCCCAATTAAAACAGTGACAGGTGACGGCAGCACATTCCTTTTAATCCCAGCACTCGGGAGGTGGAGGCGGGTGGATCTCTAAATTCGAGGCCAGCCTGGTTTAGACTGAGTCCAGGACAGCCAGGGCTACACAGAGAAACCCTGTCTTAAGAAACAACAATAATAAAAATAAATTAAAAAAATAAAACAGTGACAAAGATAGTATCTGTGTGTGTGTGTGTGTGTGTGTGTGTGTGTGTGTGTGTGTGTGTGCTGTGAGCTGCCATGTGAGTACTGGGAATTGAACTTAAGACCTTCAGAAGAGAGCAGTGAGTACTCTTAGCTACTGAGCCATCTCTCTAGCCCCGAATGAGCAATTCTTTAATCTATCCACAGGTCTTAGATTTATGGGTCTCATGAAGAAGTTATACTGAAACAAATTAGAGGTAGATACAGGGGCCATTCTGTCCTCAGAGTGGTGAGTAAGCCCTGCAGTTTCTGTGTCTCTACTTCTCAAATGCCGGTGCATTCACTGGTAGTCTATCACTTTCACCTATCTATATCTTCCTAACGTAGACACACCCACCACCCATCACCCTCTGAAACAGTCCCTAGATGCAGGGTCTTGGAGCATTGTCACTTCCTGTAAGGCTGTTCTCTGGAGAACGAGGGAGTGAAGCAGATAAGAGCAGGGAAACCCGTTAAGCAGGATATAATCTCTTCCAGGGACCAGCTTTAGCTCTGACCCAGGCAGAGCTCTGGCGCACTGCATTGCAGCTGCCCCCACCTTTCATGCAGCCAGGGGAGTCACACACTGGTGAGGAGCTGCCTGGGGTGAGGGCCAACCAGGGAGGGGGTAGGGGAAGCATGTGAATTGACACAGCAGCTGGGAGCAAATGTATCCATTTAAGGGGATCAAGACAGAACGTCAGCAGTGGCCACATTTAACTCCAGTAATGCCCCAAATCTTGCATAACTCCGAGTTATCTAGGCCATCTCGCCCTACCCCACCCGCCTTCTCTTTTGAAACAAGGTCTTTCCATGTATGTAGTTAAAACTCACCTTGAACTCATGACCTTCCACGCTCAGTCTCTGAGTGCCTGGGTGAGGTAGGCGTGCGTCATTGTGTCTGGCTTCATCCACTGCCTTTCTTTTCAGGGACATCTCCAGTTATCCTTCCTTGTTCCCTCCTACCAGCCACCTCAAGGTTCTGAAACTCACCAGCACGCTTTGGCTGCAGATCATTTGTGCTTTTTTGTTCCCTCATCTGGCATGACTCCCTGTACAGAGTCATCAGTCTTTATTAAAAGACACCTTTGAATAAAGGTTTTGTTCTGCTTGGAAATGGTGGCACGCATCTATAAATCGAGGGCTCGGGACACTGAGGCAGGAAGATAAGGCTAGCCTTGGGGCTACCTAGTGAGTTTGAGGCAAGGACTATCTTATATAATAAAATAAAATAAGACTTGTGTTTACTGTCACATCTAAAATGGAAATTTTACAACACTTACAAACTCTACCTAATCCCTATATAAAATTTTCTTATTTATTGTCTAATTCCACTTTACAACATAGACCAGGGGCGACTTAAAACAGCGGCTGATAGGCTAGAGGCACTCTGTGAATATTCGCTCATGCGATGTGTACGTGCGTGAATGATTCCTGGCAGGAAGTGTAAATCCTCCGGAAACACTGAACTGAACCCTCCCACAGAAAACTGTGGCACCCTCCCTTACATAACAAGCTGGGGAAGGGGCAGAGCGCTCCAGAGCCCTGTTTTTCCTTCAGTACTATTACAAAGCTTGTTCTCCTCCTGTGAAGATGTATGCACGAATGTAAATGTACAATCCGGCACATTTCTATACCTACATTGTAAGAATAGTAACCCTGGGCCAATTGCGATCATGGCTCACATCTGTAAAACCAGCCCGCAGCATGGCTGCCCGCCCTGGCTGTGGAGTGAGCTCCAGGCTCAGCCCACTGCCATCCTCATCTCAATCACAAGCTCCCCTTCCCCAACAGCAAGATAGAATAGAAACACTCAAGGTTTTCTAATTTTATTTAAACGAGGTCACACCAAACCCAATAATCTAGTCTTACATTTAATAAAGTAAAGAAAGAGAAAGGCAGAGCAAAATCAAAGTGAATACAGGTTGCACAGATAACTCAATTTCTAAAACGTAAAATTTAAATTTAAAGTTAACACTGTTTAAGCTCTTTACACAGCCTGATTTTAGAGGGGAGAAAACTATTAAGACATGTAAAATACCAAATCCCAATCAAGTTTCTATTAGTAAAAGCCAAAATCTTTAAGGTGTATTAAAATAAAATTCTAGAAAGAAGGGCTGAAATTACTAAAAATATAAAAGCAAGTATAGAATTTTTCAGCTCAACCTTGGGGTGAGGCTGCTTCTGCTGTGACTCCGGTTTCTTCTTGTGACTCATGCTGGACAGAGGGTTCTGAGCCTAAGGGAGGGCGGCTTTCTTCTATCACAGGGCTCTCCTCAGAACTTGGGTTCCCAGTGGTACCTTCGGCCTGGTTGCTGTTAGCAGCCTCCTCTTTGCAGGCGTCAGCCTGGTCCAGCACTGCGCTCTCCCCCTCCGGAGTGGATTCAGGGTTAGCCGCGGTGGTCTCCTCCACGCAAGCATTGGTAATCTTCGGCTCAGGCTCTGCACTGGAGGTCTCCACCGCAGCTTCGGCAGGGACCAGGGAGGCCGGAACCTCCTCTAGAAGCCCAGCTGCATCTTCTGGGACCGGGGAGGCCGGACACTCTTCTGGAAGCCCTGCTGAGCCCTCGGCAGGGACTGGGGAGGCCGGAGTCTCCTCTGGAAGCCCAGAGGCATCCCCTGGGACCGGGGAAGCCGGACACTCTTCTGGAAGGCCAGCTGCAGCCTCTGGGACCGGGAAGGAGGGGCATTCTTCTGGAAGGCCAGCTGCAGCCTCTGGGACCGGGGAAGCCGGACACTCTTCTGGAAGCACCGCTGCAGCCTCTGGGACTGGGGAGGCCGGAGCCTCCTCTGGAAGCCCAGCTGCGTCCTCTGGGACCTGGGAGGCCGGAGCCTCCTCTGGAAGCCCAGCAGCAGCCTCAGCATCTACCAATTCAGCTTCCTTTTCAGAAATTTCTTCAGCTTCCTTTTCAGAAATGTCTCCAGCCTCTGAAGAGGCTTTCCCGGCGTCTGCCACTAGCCCCTTTTCGCCTTTTAAGATATGGTCCATGAAGCAAAATATTAGTTGGGAGAGCATGGGAATAAAGCAGAATATTGCAAACAATTTGTTTTATTTTAATTTGGGGGAAGGGAAACATTTTGAGACAACACTTTCTACAGCCTAGATTAGCCACGAATCTGCTATGTAGCCTGGGATGACCTTGAACTCCTGATTCTCTGGCTTCATTTCCCAAGTGCTGTTGATCACCTTTACCCTCTTAGCCATCTTGTTGGCTCTAATACTGTTTCCTAGTGTCATGTCAAAACATTTAAGCTGAATGCCTGGCCCTGTGGTGCTCACTTTTAGCTCCCACATCCCAGAGGTGGAAGCAGGTAGATTTTTGTGAGTTCAGGGCCAGCCTGGCCTACACGGTGAAAGTCTCTCTCAATAAAAACAAAACAAACAAACAAACAAAACAAAACAAATAAACCCAAAATCAATCAAACAAACAAAACCCAACTCAGACCAAACAACCTCTGCAAAACACAAAACAAACAAACGAAAACCTACAAAGCAAAATCCAGCTCCTGAGCTACTAATATCCCTGTTCCTAAATAATGGTCACAGTAGTTGGTAATGACATTTTAGTTGAGATTAAATAAAAAAAAGATGTATAATATGAAGTAATTGGTGTGGGGCTGGAGAGAGGGCTTGGGGCTAAGAGCCCCAGCTCCTCTTACAGGGGACTAGGGTTTCACGCCCAGCACCCACACTGTGGGTGGCTCTCAGCCACGTACTTCTCTTCCAGTGGGTCCCTCTTCTGCTTTCTTGTGTGTGTGTGTTGGGGGGCCAGGTACACATGTAGTATATATTTCTACGTGCAGGCAACACAAACACATGAAAGACAGTAAATCTTGAAGAGGTTATAGTGAGCTGTTCAAGGCAGGAAATGGGTGTTAGGGAGAACCTGTAAAGTTCTGCTCTCACAGTGGTTGTCTTCACAACTGAGGAACTCAGTTTACACACCACTGGTTCAACTCATGTGAAGTAGCTTTGAGCAAGCCACAAGGGGTGATGCTTGCCAAAACCGAAAAAAAAAAAAGTTTATAACTTAAAATAATAATGGGGGAAATGAGAGGTCAAACTGCTGAGAGAGACAGATGCTAAAATCATGTTTGCATGAATGGGTGTCTGAGTAGTGGCATAAATATTACCATACAAAGAATGAAAGCTGTCTCTCAGGGAACACTCTTTCTTGGTTAAGTTCCTGCAGGGTGAGAGGGAGAGAGAACACGTGTGGTGGCGCATGTCTGTAATCCCGGCACTCGTGCAGTGCAGGCATCCTGCCTGGGATTCACCAGACCTTGTCTGTAATAAAGGGAGGCAGAAGCAGGCAGATCTCTGTGGGTCTGGTCTACAAAGCTACCGCAGGATAGCCAGGGCTGCACGGAAAAACCCTGTTGCAAAGAAGGAAACAAAACAAAACAACAAGGACAAAGAAAAAAAAAGAAATTGACTTTACCTGGAAGAGGCTGTGGCTCTGCTTGGGTTTGCTTTTTCACAGCAGGTACACGCTCTGTATTTCTGACTTGCTTTGATGTGAAAGCCTTGTAAGTCTGAAAGACAATGTGTGCTTACCTTTACTTCTCTCTAAGATTTAGCTCATACAGTTCTCTAGGCAACCACCATTATAAGTTTAAAGACCCATGGTGGTACATAGCTTTAATCCCAGCACTTGGAGGCAGAGGCAGAAAGATCTCTGTGAGTTCAAGGCCAGCCTGGTCTACAGAGAGAGAGTTCCAGGACAGCCAGGGCTATACACACACACAGAGAGAGAGAGAGACTCTGTTTCTCAAAAACAAAACAAAACAAAAGCTTAAAGAACAATTTAAATGCAGCACAGAAGAGAAATCAATGACCACTCACCACTTGAGCCAACTCCCCACCCCAACTTTTTCTGGAGATAGGACTTTTATTTCCATAAGGGTACTTGGCTGGCCTGGAACTTGGAATACAGACCAGACTGGTCTTGAACTCAGAGTACTGGGATTAAAGGTGTGAGCTAGGAAGGGAGGCACATGAATTCTTCACTAGTTTCTAAGCACTTACATAATATCCACCAGCACTGACTGTCACACCTACAACCAGGTAATAAATCATATTGGAGCCAGATGTTCCAGGGAGCTTGGTCGATGACATTCGGCGAAGAGATGCTAGGAAAACAAGTTTCAACATGGTCACCTTCACCACATAATACAGGCATCTTAAATAATTACATCTTTTAAACATTTTCTCCTTCCTGAACTTGGAGCCTATTGGCTTCATGGGTGAATCTTCACCTCAGGGAATGCAGCATTGGAGGCGGGGCAGTGATTCCACCCAGCAGCCTCTAGTGTGATTTGAGGAATGCTTGTGAAGCCTGTCATCTTGATGTCAAGAAGGGCAGATGTGGATGAGGAGAAAGAGGAAGCACTAAATAAGCTTAACAGCCAAATGAGATGCAAGAGAAGCATATTCCTCCATACTCAGACGCCATCAGAAATAATTACTTCTCATTTTCCTGTTCTGTTTTTCAGCTGTCCGTTTGAGAAAAGAGGGAGTGCTCGTTTTAAAAATTAATTAAGTGCACTTCTGTCTAAGGATAAAATTTGCATGTCAGGATGGGTAGACTGAACTAGCCCTAAGCTCTGTGAGACAAGGTCTCGCTACTTAGCTGAGGCCAGTCACGCTGCTGGCCACCCTCCTATCTCAGCCTCCTAAACACAGGGATTGCAGCCACATGGCTGCTTTGTGGGGAGACTTTCATTGGTTTAAAAACAGATCTGTGAGCTGGGCTGGTGGAAGATGCCTTTTAATCCCAGCATTGGAGGTGGGGTGGGGTCAAGAGGCAGGCAGATCTCTGTGAGTTTGAGGTTAGCCTGGTCTACAAATCGAGTCCAGGACAGCCAAGGCTACACAGACAAACCCTGTGTCAAACAAAACAAAACAAAACAAAAACAAAAAGAAAACACCCCTCCTCACCCAAACAAACAAACTTTGGGTCATCAGTCACCTGTATCTGCTGAGCCAATTCACTGACCCAAATCTCATTGCTAAAACAAACAATCCTGCCAAACCCTGCCCTACCTATGGTAGACTGTGTCTAATATGCAGGAGGCCTGAATGCTACCCTTAGTACCATAAATAAATAAATAAACAGATCTCACAGCCTTTTGACACTTGTGTTTAACTATATGCATCTTATTTGATCCAGGATTTTTTTTTTTTAAGACTAGGAGTCAAATCCAAGGGTTCCTACCCGCTGAGCAAGCTATGCTCCATGTTCTCCAGAAAGATCTTATTAAATATGAGAAATAAAGTTATCAGTAGAAGTAAACAAATACAATTTCAGCTGAGTTAATTTAAAATGGCAATAAGAAAAATAATCAATAGGAATTGATTAAACATATTTTAGTAGATTTATACAATGTGAAAACAGATTTACTTACGTGAAAAACATTTTATATTTTTGTTTTGTTTTGTTTCGTTTCTCTAGACAGGGTTTCTTTGGGTGGCCCTGGCTGGAGTAAATATGAATTTTTACATTTGTTTGTTTTATTATTTTATGTGTATGAGTGTTTGGCCTGCATGTATGTGTACCACATGCATGTCTGGTGCCCTCAGAGCGCGGGCTTCAGGTTCTCTAGTACTAAAATTACAGACTGTCGTGAGCCACCTTGTGGGTGCTGGGAACTGAACCCTGATCTTCTGCAAGAGCAACTCATGCTCTGAATGGCTCAGGCAATTCTCCAGACTATGAGAAAATGCTACCACACGTTATGTGGAAATCCATAGCAACACATCCTGTAGCTGAAGATCTCAGGTGTATAAGCTCAAGGTGCGTAAGGAAAACATGCATGAGAAAAAAAGAAAAAAAGAAAAAAAGAAAAAGACCTACAGCCATTGGATATGCTGATACACACCTGTAATGCCAGTGCTTGGGAGAATGAGGCAGGAGATTGTTTCAGATCAGCTTGGAGAGCTAGATCTTGTTTCTATAAGGCAAAAAACCGAAATTCTCTAAAACTAATTAGACTAACTACAAATAATGGGCTTTATGGAATGGGAAGATTATGTTTATATACTATATTTTGTCTTTCTGGTATTTTCCCAATTAATTGTAAACTTAAGCTATTCATTAAAATTTTACATTTTTGAAAGTCTAAAAAAGTTATATTTTACAGAAAAAGAAGAATAAAACTTAATGATAATTAAAAGTGTGTCTTTCAAAAAAAAAAATAAACACTATACCAGGACAAAGAGGAAGACAATACAGCCAGTCCTGATGAGACCTGATAGGCTAGGGTCAGATAGAAGGGGAGGAGGACCTCCTCTATCAGTGGACTAGGGGAGGGACATAAGGGGAGAAGAGGAAGGGAAGGTGGGATTGGGTGGAGACAAGGGAGGGGGCCACAGCTGGGATACAAAGTGAATAAATTATAAGAAATAATAATAACAAATAAAACAAATGCAAAAACCTCCATTGAAACAAATTTATTTTCTACCAAAATAAGACATTAACTAGTGCTTGAAAAGGAAGACAAATTTAAGATTTCAGTCAATGGTGGACTAGTAGCCCAGGACTTTAATCCCAACAGGCAAGAGGATCTCTAAGTTGGAGGCCAGCCTGGACTACAGAATGAATCCTGGACAGCCAGGGCTACACAGAGAAACCCTGTCTCGAAAACAAACAAAAACATCGTAATTCTGGCTTGGCTGTTGCTGAGTATTCAGTAGAAGTAGGTTTGCTTAGAAAGTGATGGGCCTTAGATTCAATCCCTAGTACCACAAAAATGAAAGTAATTAGGTGCGTATTAAAATGAAGTTGATACCCTCACATCTAGGATGGCTAACTGCACACCCAGAATGTTAATTTTGATCTAATGGGGGGAGTGGGAGGCAGGGGATGTAAAAAGCTGTGGTGCACATGACAACATTCCCAGAGTAAAGACAGAGTAAAGATAAAGAGGTCTGCCGTCAAGCTTTAAGACCTAGTTTGCTCTCTGGTACCCACTGACTCCTGGACTCTGTCCTCTTAGGACATGCAAGCTCTGGTGTGTGTGCTTGTGTGTGTGTGTGTGTGTGTGTGTGTGTGAGAGAGAGAGAGAGAGAGAGACAGAGACAGACACAGAGAGAGATAGAGACACACACAGAGCATGAGTGTGTGTGAGAGAGAAAGAGACAGAGACAAATATGCAGACAGACACAGAGAGAGATAGAGACACACACAAAGCATGAGTGTGTGTGTGAGAGAAAGAGAGAGAGACACAGAGATAGAGACACACACACAGAGCATGAGTGTGTGTGAGAGAAAGAGACAGACACACACACACAGAGAGATAGATTTTGGAAGAAGATGAAGTTAGTGGATTCATTTTTTTTCCCTTATCTGAACATCAGATCAGCCCCCATTATATTCAGTTTAAAATAAGTGGCTTCACCCCACCTCCTCAGTGGTGCAAATTGTTCTCTCTTACTAGGTGTACAGAGAGAGGGGAAGACATCTTAATACTTGTGAGGAGACTTCTTTCAAGCAGCATTTAAAACAGATGGATGAATCTCCCTCGCACCCTCCACCATCACCCTCCACTGCCTAATCAAAGCAGGGAAACAAGTGAAGAAATCAGACCCTAACCCTTCTAGTTCATTGATTTTTCCACAGGCTTTTTTTCCCCCTTCTTCTTCTTCTTCTTCTTCTTCTTCTTCTTCTTCTTCTTCTTCTTCTTCTTCTTCTTCTTCTTCTTCTTCTTCTTCTTCCTTCTTCTTCTTCTCCTCCTCTTTTCTTTTCCTGTCTCTCTCAAATCCTCGCTCTGGACATTGCCTCGGATGCTTTAGCAAGTGGGGCGAAGTACAGCAAGAATTAGCTTTCTAGTGTTCAAGAGCTGTGCCCCAGCGGGTGGTGGACAGCGAGGGTGGACGGTTGAGGACAGGATAGGGTCGCTGGGAGAGGACCTCTGGGAGAGGACTGGTCCAGAGCCGCGACACCTACTTCCCTTTCCTCACGCATTCCCTAATCCGTAGTTGACGGAGCTGCGAGAGCGTGTCAGCAACATCAGAAGAGTGTCCGGAGCCCCCCCTCCCACCCCCGATGATCAGGGCCGGAAAATCCCCTGGTAGGCACCATTAGTGTTTGGTGAACCCACAATGCTCCTGGAGCACACCCGCGAGCGCGCGGACCCCTCACCTCCACCCATCCGTTCCTCTGCCTCTTTGTAGAGCCTAGTAATTCACTGAATAAGTAACTTGAGAATCTAGGAGTGAGCAGACCATCTTCGAGGTGGTCTTCTTTTCACTCCGTATCTACTTAGTACGGTTCACAGCCACTGTAGTGTTCACTTACAGAAAACGAAGAAACATTACTTGCCTGAGATCAGGACTGGAACCCAGGAAGTCTAATCTGAGTTCAGAGGCCACCCTGGAAAAGTTCCCTATTTCCAAAATTTCCAGGAACTTCGGAGAGCTTGACTGAGACCCTCCCTCACTGTTCCTCTACCCACTGTCCCAGGCTTTTGCGACTGGGTGCTGGTGGGTTCCGGGCGCTAGTCCCCAAGCTGGATCCGCGGAGAAGTGCGGGACACTCACCGTCCTTCCCTAGCGGTGCAGGGCCGGGGGGCGCCCTCCGGGGCAGCGCCAGAGTCTTGGACACAGCCCTGCGGAGATACATCGCCTGATGCGCTGCGAAGCAGCGGCGGGAGCTGGGAAGCCAGGCTCAGAGGGCGGAGCCTCGGGAGCGCCCCGCCCCAGCTGGGGCTCCAGATCCCCTGGTGCTCCAGATCCCCTGGTGCTCCAGATCCCGTGTGTCCCTGTCCGGAGAAGGTGGGAAGGGGATTGAGTTAGTCGCCGGTCCCTTGGAGCCCTTCCCCAGCTTCAGTGGCGAGGCTTTCCCGCTCGCCCCCCACCCCGCCCCTTCCCCAGCCGCTTAACGGCTGCATCTCAGAAGAGGGATGGGAAGCTTAGAAGTTGCTGTTAACGTGCCTGACCCGCTCTGTCCCATGGAGTGTCTGTCCAGTGCCCGCTGGCCACGTTTAGGGAATCGGACCAGATTCAGGATTCAGGCACCTGGGAGAAGGCCACGTTTATCCCACCCACTGCGTTAGATTTTCCAGGAAAAGGGAGCAGGAAACTTTACAGGCGATAGGCTTATGATTCAATGAAGGGGAAGGTTTCCCCCTGGCGATGGCTGAGTCCTAAGCCAGCCACTGGTCCCAAAACTTTAAATGTACGGTAAATTGTTTATCTAGCAGAGCGTAAAACCATGCGTGGTTGCATTAGTGGGATCCTCCCAGCACTCAGGAAGATCAGCAGTTCAAGATCTTTGGCAGCAGGCCTGGTTTGAGGGCCCCGGAGGCTACATAAGGCCCTGTCTCAAAATAAAAATAAAAATAAAAATAAAATCACTGCGGGCATCGGGCGGAAAGCCAAACGAAAACAAACTGACAGGACACGTAGGTAAAAGGCCTCTGGAGGAGTAGCAAGCGCTCTTAAACACGAAGTCCTCTCTCCAGAGTTGTGAATCTTAGTCTTATGAGAGAGGGTGTTTTCTGTGTAGCCCGGATTTTCAGGACAGTCAGGGCTACACAGAGGGCGTCTGCCTCCCAGAGTGTTGGGATTAAAGGCGTGCGCCACCCCCAGTCCGGCCAGGGGTAAAGCGGGGCCGAGGAGACTGAAACACAGTTAAAATGAAATGCGCTCGAGCAGGCGGAGGAGGCTGTGCTGGCTGAAGCTCACGGTTCCTCCACTCCCTTTCAGTCTGGTATGTGACGGTATTTGTTGTATCTGCCTTGTGTCCCTCCCAGCTAGGGGAGACACCACTGTGACCTAGCACACCTCCTCTTTTCGCGAAGGCTCCTGTCTCAGGGCAAAGGAAACTTCTACTTACTCTTGGGAGCTTTGGTGGGTTCTTTTCACATTTTAACGAGCCATTTCCAAAACAGACACACAAACACACACCCATGCCCTTGGTTGTCAGATCCTGAATTTTCAGCTGCTCCCCATAGTTCTTGCTGCAGCTGACTGGAGGTGCAGCCATTTCCCTGCTGCAGGCCAGATTCGTCACTGCCTTGGACAACATCCTTGACATTTTTCTGTTGTGTTTTAGAAAAATATCTACGGTCAGAAATAAATTGGCTTAATTCAGATGACTTCCAGTTAATCTTTGGTTGTTGATAAAGAGACACATTTGAGAGTCTGGAGAGGTGGCTCAGCGGTTAAGGGCTCTGACTGCTCTTGCAGAGCATTGGGTTCAAATCCCAGCACTCACATTGCAGCTCATGACTGCAACTCCAAGATCTTAAACTCTCACGTAGATATCTAACATAGATGTACATGCAGGCAAAACACCAATGCACATAAAATAAAGGTAGATACGTTTAAAAAAAAGATTTTAAAAAGATGAAAACACTGTAAGGGTCCAGTGGCAAGATTCCATGGTTTATGTGTTATGTGCTAGGTAAGTCTAAGGTATTTGAGGTCTGGAGCTGGCAAGCCTGAAGACCTGAGTCGGATCCCCTGGACTCACATGATGGAAGCTAAAGGACTGACTCTTGAAACTTGTCTTCCACACATACCTATGGCATGTGCACTTGCTAAGTTTCAAACCTGGGACAAACAGCTGAGGTGCGCCTGGCCTCCAGGTTCTCCTAGCATCCCCTACCCATACCGCCCCTCTCCCCCAACTCTCCAGCCTTCCCCAGCAGCTGGGCTGCCCTTCCCCCAGAAGCTCTTCCCAGTACAATCCAGACATTTTGGTTATCGGCTCCTTTGGTACCTTTGGCCTCCTAGCTGCTGAATCTGGTTCCCTCTTTCCCTTCCCCTCCCCTTCTCTTTTCAAGGCTCAAAGTCATGCCTACTCTAAACCATCCCAGCCGTGTCTGCCTCTTGTTATGCTCTTCCTTTTATCTATAACAGACTTCCTCCTCCACCACACACGGAGAGACAGGCATGTCCTTCCCTTTTCTTTTCTTTTTTTTTTTTCATTCACACCCAAACACTTTTCTCCTCCACACATTAAAAAAAAAAAAATGCACTCAAAAAAAAAGAGTGCATGAAATTTCCCAAATGCTATAGAATGCTAGAAACAGGCTGGAGAGATAGCTTAGTGGCTAAGAGCGTTTGTTGCTCTTCCAGAGGACCAGAGCTCAGTTCCCAGAAACCAGGTAGTTCACAACTTCCTTAGCTCCTGCACACATACACACACACAGACAGACAGAAACATCGAAATGATTCTTGCTCAGTCCATAGCTCTTGATTTGAGATGTAAACCCTGGCACTATTTGCTTACTCTTTACCATGTGGGAGGCTGGTGTGTGCCTAAGTATGTGCTCTGAGGAATGAGGTCATGCAGAGTTCGAATAGCTAATACTGAGTTTTTTTCTTTTTTTCCCGAGTCAGGGCCTCACAACCTTCTTGCATCAGTCTCCTAAGAGCTGGGTTTACATGCTGCTTCCAGTGCATAGTAGTAGGTTCTGTCCCACAGCTCAAGTTATCAGGAATGGCACCCCCTAGAGGTAAAACGGATACATTGAGGAAAAAGATCCATACCCGGTAACTGCACCCCAAAAGGCTGATATGCAGTGGATTCTGTTTATTAAAGTATACTTCCAACGAAAACTTTCCATTTCTAAAGTTGCAGGTATCTTAATGTTTCCTGGACTCTTTAGAGATGTTTGGGTTTTTTTTGTTTGTTTTTTATTTTGTTTTTTTTGAGACAGTCTGTCTGTGTGGCCTTGATGCCCTGAAAGGCCCGCTGTAGACCAGTGGACCAGGCTGGCCTGGAACTCACAGAGTTGTCTTTTAAAGGCATGTGCCACCACCGGCAGGGTAGCATGTTGAATTTTTTAAGTGCTTTCTGTGTGCCAGAGAGACAGACTACTTTGGAGGTAACTGACTTTTGGGTCTCAATTTCTACATAATAGCACCAGTTTCTTACAGGTACTCTAGGAAATAAAGAAACCTGAAACACTATACGTTTCTTAACTCAAAGGGTTTTTAGTTTTGTATTTTTGTTTTTTGAGACAAGAGTTTCTCTGTGTAGCTCTGGCTGTCCTGGACTTGAGTTGTAGACCAGGATGGCCTCGAACTCACACTGACCCACCTGCCTCTGCCTCTCTGAGCGCTGGGATCACAGGCATGTGCCACTATGCCCTGCCTGGCTTTAAGGATGTGTCTTACATTCGTTTTTTTTTTTTTTTTTTTCTTTTTTCCTTGATACACCTTGGCTCTTGATACACCCAGACATGTTAGAGGCAGAGCTAAGAGGGAGCTTGCAAGATAGGTGCCAAGCCCTAGATTGGCCACCTGTATAAAAACTGAACACAACAGCAAATAAACACAGCAATAGCTGGCTGATTTTATACAGCCACTTACAAAGACCCTTGTCAGCCAGGCACGATGTCACATGCCTGTAATCCCAGCACCCAGGGAGGCAGAGGCAGGTGGATCTCTCTGAGTTCGAGGCCAACCTGATCCACAAAGCGAGTTCAGGACAGCCAAGGTTACACAGAGAAACCCTGTCTCAGAAAAACAAAACAAAAAGACCCTCGTCAGGCCACTGGGCCCAACTAGACCCTCCAGGGTCACGTCATCTCAAGGTTGGCCTCCTGCCACCCTCCTTTTACCTGCAGCTTTAACTCCCTGCTGTTGTGCAGTCTGACACCTGCATGTGTTCTGGGGCAGACACACTTTTGTTGGACTGTCTTTCTACCACAGACCTCCCTTTTCTGGTTACTGCATTTGCAGGAAATGGGTTTATAATCTCTAAAAATTTCCCACTCTAACAGGATTCCAAACTGACATCCAGACAGTGGGCTGTGCTTTTTCCAGCCCCCAAACACACACAATTACCATGGACTTTACCGTCAAAAGGAGGCTCAGATAATAAATCATTTTAACCCCTATCGACTTACCCTCTTTTCTCTAAAAAAATGTTCATGATACTTGTGATTAAACCCAGGGCTTCAAGAATTGTAGGCAAGGGTTTTATTACAGCGCTATGGCATCAGCTTGAGACAGGATCTTGTGTACAGTGTCAGGCTAGTTTCAAAGCCGCTGTGTAGTGCCCCCACCTCATTTTTAGTTTATTGTTTCTATGCCTGTTGTGATCAGTGGCCCATGTTACAGAACTTCTGAGGATTCTAGAGACCCTTCTCACGTTGTCAGCGAGCAAGTGCTAATCCAGTCCCCTCTTAAAAAAAAACAAAACCCTATAGTTTGCTATATCTTGATTGAAAGCCAACAGACAAACTTCATGTGGCCATAAACCTGAGTACAAAGTTCTTCTGGGGCTGGAGAGAAGGCTCGGCATTTAGGAGCACTGGCTGCTCTTGTAGAGGTCCAGTCCCCAGCACCCACACGGAGGCTCACAGGGCCCAAGACCACATATGGTGTACATATACACATTCAGGCAAGCACGCTTACATAGCAAACAAACCAGCGCCCAGGCTCTTCAATAAAAATCATTCCAATTCAAGTAAGTGGAGACAAAAGTAACTCTGCTAACAGGGTTCATCTTTACTACCCGACTTATCACCTATTTATCAACAAAAGATTTCTTGGGCTCTTTTGTATTTTGAGTAATAAAGGAGTCTGTCTCTTGTGCATTTGATAGTTTGGTTCCGAAGACCCTTGCCAACTCCCCATGGCTCCAGTGCTCTCCTTAGGCTTCTATGAGCCCTGCATGTGCCCAGTACACATACATATATGCATGCATTCACATAAATAAAAACAAGTAGATAAAAGTTGCAAAGAGTCCATCAGCAGTGATCAGTGAATCCATCTCTACATGTGCAGAACACAAGTATTTTTATTTCTTTAACAATGCAAAATGTCTGTGCTGACTGGATTGATACATATTCACATATAGCTTTTTTCTCATATCCACAACTCAACCTATGGGCGAATCCAGAGGAATGATCATGACACCACGTGAAGCAGTCCTACAAAGAGGGGGAAAAAAAATCAATCCATGATCAGATGATGTTAAAACTTGACTTCTCTGAATAATTGACCTTAGAGCATCAGAAAAAAAATATAGAAACTATATCTATTAAATAGATTACAGTTGGAGTACACATGTGATTCTAGCAGTTGGAGAAGCAGAGGGAGGCAGATCTCTATGAGTTCAAGGCCAGCCTAGTCTACAAAGCAAGTCCAGGACAGCTAAGGCTACACAAAGAAACACTGTCTTGAAAAACCAAAAACCATAGCATCAGTACTTGATTTTAAATTTATAATAAAAATGTTGAAAAGTTGTATTAATAGAAAAAAAAAAGCAAACGATTTAGACAATAAACCCTAAAGTGTTAAACTTGAGAGTTCTTAAATAAAGAAAATGTTTTGATTTCTGCTTATTATCTAGTAGATATAAATTAATCAACTTAACACATCAAAACTGAGATAGTTAGTATGTGGTGGCTATGTATTCTGCATGTGTGTGTGCATGCATGCGCAGATACACGCATGCACGTGAAGGTCCAAGGCTGATGCTGGGAGTCTTTGTCAATGGCTTTCCACCTTAGTCATTGAGGCAAGGCTTCTCAGTTAACCCCAGAGCTTACCAGTGGTCAATTTAGTTGGCCATCTTATTCTGGGAATCCGCTGCCCACCTTCAGAATTTTGGAATTACAAGTGGCCACCGTGCCACGCCAGCATTTACACAGGTTCTGGGGACCGAGTGCTGGTCCTCATGCTTCTGTGCTAGTTGCTCTAACCACTGAGCCATCTCCTCAGCCCAGAAGCTTTTTTCTTTTTCTCTTTCTTTCTTTCTTTTTTTCCGAGACAGGGTTTCCCTGTGTAGCCTTGACATCCTAAACTCGAACTCAGAGATTTGCCTGCCTCTGGCTCCCTTAGTGGATTTTCTTCAATGAGAGATTCTTTTTTTTTCATTATAAAAAGTAAAGAATTCCTTTCAAATAATTTCCAGAAATAAAGAATATACATTATATACATTTATGTAATATTCATATTATATGTTTTTGGAGACAAGGTTTCTCTGTGTAGCCTTGACTGTCCTAGACTTGCTTTGTAGACCAGGCTGGCCTTGAACTCACAGAGATCCACCTGCCTCTGCTTCCCTGAATGCTGGGATCACAGGCATCCACCACTGCACCTGGCTTAAATGTAGGTTTTTGTTTTTCCAAGACAGGGTTTTTCTGTGTAACATTAGCTATCTTGGAATTCATTTTGTAGTCCAGGCTGGCCTTGAAATCAGAGATAGGCTTGTTTCTGCCTCTGGAGTACTGGGATTAAAGGCATAGCCACCAGCACCCGCTCATATTATATGTATGTTACGTGTGACACACACTTGCACACATATATGCACAAATCTTCTCTCTTAAATCACAGACTGTGGAAAATATGTTACCTCATTAATATTAGGCTTTACCTGAATTCCTCAATTGGATGCTAGCTATAGTGACGATCATAACAAAATGGTCAAGCAGAAAAAAAAATTCATAATGTACTGCCTTTATACATTCATCTCTTCTACAAACATTAAGCTCCTAGAATGGCTGGGGATTCAGTACAGTTTGAGAACTGAACAGTAACACAGTAGATGAAACAAGCACAAGACACGGCAAACACATATCAGGAAACAGACAACTTATGCCACCTTGTCCTAAGTGCTATGCACACAGCAGTAAAGTGCTAGTAAGGAGATATGATTTAATGTGGTTGTGGTTTTATTGCTGTTTCTCCTCCTTTCTTTGTTTGGGACAGGTCTTGCTGTGCAGATCAGGCTGGCCTCTGCATTAGTATGTATGACCTCATCCAGTACTGGTGCCACCCTGGTGGCATGCTCCTTAAATCCCAGCACTTAGGAGACAGAGGCAGAGGCAGGGTAAGTGGATTCTAGCCACATATCCAGCTCAAGGTTACACAGCGAGACCTAGTTTCTCTCTTTTCAGACAGGGCCTCTCTACTTGGCCCTGGCTGTCCTGGCATTCATTATATAGCCCAGGCTGGCCTCACAGAGACCCTCCTCCTTTTGCCTCCTTCTGCCTTTAGTGCTGGGACTAAAAAAGGCACACACTAATACACCTAGAGGTGAGACCCTGTCAAAGTCACAAACCAACAAACAGATCAATTAACTTCCATAATCTACATAATCTATAAGGATACTTACTATATATTTATTTCCAAAGTTTATTCCAATCCATTTCTTCTTTTATACTCCATAACATCTTCATTATGTTGATTGATGAGCTACAAGTTAATGGTTAAAACTAGAAATGTAATCTTCCTGGCAGCTCAAAGAGAAAGAACCAAGTAAAGATCTTTATGCTTCTTCTTTTTTTTTAAAGGTTTATTTATTATGTATACAATGTTCTGCCTGCATGTACACCTGCATGCCAGAAGAGGGCACCAGATCTCATTATAGATGGTTTTGAATCAGGATGTGGGTGCTGGGAATTGAACTCAGGACCTCTGGAAGAGCAGCCAGTGCTCTGAACCTCTGAGCTGTCTCTCCTGCCCAGATCTTTATGCTTCTTAAGAGAAATAGAGAAGGTTAAAAACAATTCTAAAAAGCAAAGCCATTCAACTTAAACAATTATTCATGGAGTTCATTTATTGACCATAACCTGACATTAAATTTAAGAATGAGGGCTGGAGACATGGCTCAGCGATAAAGAGCACTGGCTGCTCTTCCAGAGGTCTTGAGTTCAATTTCCAGCAACCACATGGTGGCTCACAACCATCTATAATGAGATCTGGTGCCCTCTTTTCACCTGCAGGCATACATGCAGGCAGAACACTATACATAACAAAAAAAATTGAGAATGATATAATGGAAAGCATATAATGAAAGAAGAATAATAAAACGTCACACTCTAGCTATCAAATGTGTCCCAGGCTGACTGATAAGTATGTCTATGTACAGCATGCTGTACTTCCAATCCAAGAAGCCTCACACTGTGAGTAAATGACCAACCCCATCCCTTGCTTCTGTGTGTTAATGAGGAGTCAGAGAGCAGCTACTTTCTTAGAATCTCAGTTTGAAAAGATTATGTAACTGGTACAGTGATTAATACATGATGACATTCATGGGAATCAAAGACCTAATTTTCATCCTTCATGCTCTTAGCAGCAATTAAGCCTTCCATTAGGAACTTTCAAGACTGTATATAAAATTGGGGCTGTAGAGATGGCTTGGTAGTGAAGAAGAGCAGGACCCAAATTTGGTTCTCAGCAGCAACAGCAGGCAGCTCATAAATGTCTAGAACTCCATCTCCAAGATATCCGATGAGTAGAATACTCACATAACCCCACAGGAAAATCGTGGTGCCCACGCTCAGCCCAACTTTGAACCAGTTAGGTTTGGCGTGCATCGGCTCCCGGACATAGAACTTTGACCGTGTTGAAGCTGAAAAAAGAGAAAGAATATGTATCTTACTGACTTGTTGAGAGGAAAGCCTAACATTTACTAGTGTATGTGCCATCGCATTAAATTATCTTTTGAGATAGGGGCTCTTGTAACCCAGGCTGGCCTTGAATTCCTGATCGCCTGTCTCCACCTCCCCAGGGCTGGGATTCCAGGGAAGCCTCACCATCCCTGGCTTTAAATTGTCTTCTTTTAACTTTATCTGCTCAGCTCCAATTTAAACAGGTAAGTTCAGAGATCTGAGGTAACTCGTCTGGGGCACCAGCAGAACCAGAAGGCCGTCCTTGAGACTCAGGACGCCTTCAAAGCTTGGGTAACGCTTTGATCGCCGGCCCTCGGGAGGCTCGAGATTTTACTCCTGTCTCCTGGGCATCGTAGAGTCGGGGGCAACAGACCCAAATTCCACTCGCAGAAGGCAGGGGTTAGTTTGGAGGGCGGACGGTGAAGGTCAGGGCGGGCGGCATGGACCGCAACCTCCTCCCACTACGGAGATTCCAGGTTGGTTTGTGCTAGGTGGGGGTAGTCTGATGGCCGAATGGGCTCGAAGAGTCACTCACAGCTGATCGGGAGCCGTGTGGAGGCCAGCAGCCGGGAAAAACGACGCAGAACTACGGACGGCGCCATCTTGCCCCGCAGGCTCCTCCTCTCGGCAAGCGCATCTTGGTGGACTAGTACCGCCTTCTCGAGCGCGCATGTCCGGCAGGAGGCGCGGGGCGCAGCGCCCCCTGGCAGCAGAAGCGGGACTTGCAGGTGGGCCAGAGTCCTAGCTACAGAACAAAGTTCCCTAGAACCCCGACACAGGACAGGGGTTGAACAAAGGGTGCAAAAGTGGGCTGGGGCTAGGAAAGCAGTTTGTCCACCCTACAAGGCGCTTGTCAGGTTTACTGAAGTGTTCCGTTCGTCGGCCAAAAAAACTGAAAATGGTCTTGCTGAAGAATAAACTTTGGGTCGAATTTAATGTTTCAGGCACAGTGTTTAACTTGTGGTTTACAATCATTATTTCATCGCTACTTCGACCGCAGGATGTGCCGTGATTATTGGTATCAATTAACAGATGTGTTCAAAGTCGACTAGGGGGAATGTATTTGCAAAGGCCTTTTAACAGTTCCTAAAATCCATTTCTACTCAAGATCACATTTATGCCTCTCAGTCCTCTGAGGTGGGATTCATCGGGGAGGAATCCAGAGCTTCCACTTCCTATCTTACCTAGATTACCTCCGTGCTACATATTCCTCCCCTAGCTTTTTTTACGTTGTTTTTGAGGTAGGGTCTCACTACGGTCCCAGGTGGCCATAAACTTGATCGTCCTGCCTCGGCCTCCTGAAGAGCTAAGCTCTGACTGATTCAGGAGGGGCATTCAGATGGCAGAGAGATCCAGTGTTCTGTCCCCAGACTCTACATCTAGTAGTCTTGTTAGACCCCCTAACAAGGTAGGACTGGCTATAAGGCCATGAGCCTATGAGAACAAGAGCCGAACTGTCATGTCTTAATGTCTTAGCACCATTTGTGTTTTGTCTACCACATTTCAACAATATGGTTTTTAGTTGTTCCTTTTTTTTCTTTCTTTTTTTTTTTGGTGAGACAGGGTTTCTCTGTGTAGCCTTGGCTGGCCTGGACTCACTTTGTAGATAGGCTGTCCTCTCATGAAGATCCACCACCACTGCCTCTGTCCTCCCTCCCAACCCCAGTCCTTGGATTACTGACAAGAGCCATCTCCTCTGCTCCTTAATCTCTACTGTAATTTTACATCTGTAACAGAAAACCTATCCTGTAGGATACTGGAAAGCTTAGGTGTTATGGGGGTACTAAATACTCCGTTTGCCTGTTCTTAATCAGCTGGGTTTAAAAAATTTTATAACTTTTATGTGTAGGCTCATGTGTTGATATCGGCATGTGTGCAAGTGCGTGGGAGGCGCCAGTGAAGGTCAGAGGCACTGACTCACCGGGTGGCTCAGCTGGCTTAAACATTTTTTGTTTATTTTTATGTCTGTGTTTGTGCTTGCTTATCAGACGCATCACAGTGCCTGCAGGTACCCACGGAGACAAAAAGAGGGTGCTGGATCTGAGTTGTCCAGCATGATCTGGGCGGTAGGAAACAAACTGCAGTCCTCTGCAAGAATAACAAGCACTCTAAATTGCTTAGCCCTCTCCTAGTCCATGGTCAGCTGCTTGTTCTGTTACACAATTGCTTCAGAGTCTGTTTCACTGTATCCTTAATTCTACCTGGTGTCCAATGACCAGGTTAACAAAAAAAAGGACAGATAGCATGATATATTCTTTTTACTTTTTAAAGATTTTATTATTTTTGTATTGATATATTTTTATTTTTATGCATGCATGTGGTGGTGAGGGTATGAATGAAGCTCCCCTTGAGGACCAAAAGAGGGTGTTGTAGCATTGTATTTTTTGGAGCTGGAGTTATAGGTGCTTGTGAGTCAACTGAAGCAGGTGCTGGGAACCAAGTCCAGGTCTTCTGCTAGAAAAATATGGGTTCTTGGCAGCTGCGCCATCTCTCCAGCCTACAGATGATAAAATCTTACCCTTAAAAGCAATTTGTTAAAACCTAAAGCTGTTTAGGTCCACTTTAATAGCAAAATAAAAGTTATAATTTTTCTATGTATTTTTAGCAATAGTACTTAAAAATTTTTTTTTTAAATTCAAATGAAAAATCATTAGCTGAGCATGGTGGCTCCTATCTAGTCCCAGCTCTTGGGTAGCTGAGGCATGGATGCCTCAATTTTTAGGGGAGTTTGAGCTTCATAGTAAGTCCCAGGTCAGCCTAGGCTACTGTAAGACCCCAATAAATAAATAAAGAAAGAAAGGAAGAAAGAAAGGAGAGAAAGAGAGAGAAAGAAGAAAGAAAGAGAGAAAGAAAAAGAGAGAAAGAAAGAAAGAAAGAAAGAAAGAAAGAAAGAAAGAAAGAAAAGGTGTGACCAAATAGAAAACTAAGAGTAAAGGCACGTACTGGCAAGCCTGATGACCTGAGTTCAGGCTGAAAGGAGAAATCAGTCTTCTACTAAGTTTTCTCCTGACCTCCGCACTGGAGCTCTGAGAAGCACTCACATGCACACAACTGTACATACACTCACACTAAATACATAAATGTATTTTTTAAAAAAGAGGGGAAAAGAAAATAAGTTACTCATAGGCTCATTTTACAACTCAAATGATGGCTAGGCATGTTACTAAATCCATGAGTTACTTTAGTTTGTAACCTAGTCTGAGCCTCCTGGACTCACGCTCAAGTAAGCAGGCCAGCCTACTAATGCGCTGAGTCAGTTGTTGGCTTCTTGTCCACTCAGCAACCCGCTGGTTGTATACTCTTTCTCCACCATCCTGCTGGAGCTTGTCCTGACACAGCTTTTGCTAGTCTTCAACAAGCTGAAACAGAAGCCACGGTCTGTGGGAGTGCACAGAACCAGTTAGCACACCAGGATCTATGCTTGGGAGGTCCGTTTTGTTCCCTTCCAGAACTCTGGTCCCCATGTCCTTTTGCTAGTGTATATTTGGGGAAGCAATGAAGTGTATGAGCATACCATTCTCAACATGTTAGAGCTCACTGGGCCCCTACAGTTGGAGGAGGAAGCTGTAGACGAAACTCCCATCATGAAATGAGTCCATCCAGGAGCTAATAGCTATTACAATTTGATAGACATCTTTCTTAACATCCATTTAAACCATGTCTTGAATTGAAATGCTAAAGACCTTATTTGTGACCTAGGTGAAGGGAGATTTGAGTTAGTTTCAGCCTTGGATTTTTTTTTCTTTCTTCTTTCTTCTTCTTCTTTTTTTTTTTTTTTTTTTTTTTTTTTTTTTTTTTTTTTTTTTTTTTGGTGAGACAGGGTTTCTCTGTGTAGCCCAGGCTGTCCTGGAACTCTCTGTAGACTAGGCTGGCCTCTGAACTCACAAAGATTCAACCTCCTCTGCCTCCAGAATGCTGGGATCAAACATGTGTGCCACTACTGCCCCACTGGCCCTGGATTTTTCCATGAAGAAACAACTGATGTGGATAAGGGAGTGGGTAAAGAAGAGTAAGAGTTGAAATGACAAGAAAACAGTAGATATATAAAAAGTCCATGGATCGAATTCAGGACCTAAAGGCTTTTTGTATATACAAGTTTAATTAAACAAAAACTCAGAAGCTATTCCAAAATGTGACTATTGGTTATTTGTTAAGTCTGGGTAACAGGCTTCTTTTCTGTTGCTTTTCTATAAAATGAAAGTACAGATTGGCCTCTGGTCTCCCACACAAGGCAATCGTCCTGAGTGCTGGCTTTACTTTGTTCTGCCCTAGCCTATGTGCACCACCACACCCAGCCTCAGGAAGCCCTTTCCGACCATAGTGATAAGGATGTAAGGTCATCAACAGCCACAGTGCCATCGAGCCTTGGTTGTAACTTCCTGGAAGTACAGGGAGCACTCACCAAATAGCTAAGATTCAATTTCTCTTTGTCAAATAGGAGTGATCATAGCAGGTAGCTTATTATTGGGTTCAGGCTATCATGTCACTGTGTGGTCAGATTATTATCTGGAGGTGCATTTTAACTCAGATATGAATCAGATCAATGCTGTAATCAGACCAGTATTCACGGAACCTTAAAAACTGCTGTTTGGGCAGTAGTTTAAGAGTACTTGCTGCTGTTCCAGAGGATCTAGGTTCCTTTCCCAGCACCCAAGGGTTACGACCACCTGTAACTCCAGCTCCAAGGTATCTGACACTCTCTTCTGAGCTCTACAGGTTCCAGTATTCACATACATGTGAACACACACAAATAAAAATAAAAATCTGCAACAAACCAAAGCTCTCCACCCTAAACACTAACCCTGCTGCTTAGACTTGGATGGGGGCACTATGTCTGTAATCTCAGCATTTGGAAAGCAGAGAGGGATGTGAGTTCAAGGTAAGCCTGGGCTATTTAGCAAGACCAACCAACCAAACAACAAACAAAATTGCCATTTAGTGGGAAGGAGATTAACAGTAGCAGAAGGAGACAAAACGTAAAGGTATGTATGTGTGTGAATGTAATTCAATTATATTATGTACATGTATAAAGATAATGAAAACCATTATTACATATAATTAACATGCCAATAAAACATTAAATTTAAAATTTATGTGTACAATTTGAAAAAACAAAAGTTGGTATTTAGTGCTGTGGTGTGGCTAGCTCCATGGTAGAAGTGCTTGTCTGGCATGCATGAAGCACGAGGTTAGATCTTCTGCACACACCTGCAGTAAAGCTATTTGTGTCTTTGCATGTGCTGAATTTTCTTTTAGGTTCATTTGTTTCATATGTGACCCTTTTGCTTGTCTGTATGTGCACCCTGTGCACACCTGTGCTTCCAGAGGCGATGGGAAGCCAACCCAGGGTCTCTGCAAAAGCAACAGGGCTTTTACTCGACAAACCATCACTCCAGTCCCATAATTTCATTTATTATTTGTGTGTGCCAACATGGAGGTCAGAGAACAACTTTTCGGAGCCACTTCTCTTTTTCCATCTTTATTTTCGTTCAGGGATTAAACTCAGGTTGTCAGGCTTGCAAAGAAAGTGCCTTTACCACTGGTATCACACCAACCTAATTTTCCTAAATCTTTAGAGAGATTACAGTGTTCAAGGATACCCCAGGATTTGCCTGCTATGATCTCTCTTTCTTTGGTTTTTAGAGATCGAGT